GCTATTAGCTAAGTTCTCCCCAAACGAGCTTGATGGGCCGAATGGCCTCCTCTCGTTTGTAAATTTCTTATGTTCTTATGTTCAATGTGCGTGCAGTCGATGGCTCCGATTACATTGGGAAAACCGGATATCACTGCAAATTACGCTTTAATGTTGGCCTGTTCAACCACAGTGTAAGGAAATTTTATATATCTGGGTGACAATTATGTTGTCCCATACAGCTGGCATGGCGCGACTCAGTGTTGACTGAGAAATACCCGATCGGTCCGCAAGTTCCTGCTGAAAAGCACCTGTGGCTAAGAACCCGCGAGTGGACAGAACTTGTAAAGGAACAGATATAGCGCAATTCCTCATCGTCTGCCTTTGTAATGCTGGTCCCAGTTCAGCACACAGCTCCAAAAGGATTGCTCTTGGAGATCTGAATCGACATAGAAGCCAGTCATCATCATGGGCCAAGAAATCACTATGATCCCTGAATACGCGCTCTCTTCTAATTCTTCCATAAGATGTCTTCCAATAACTCAAGAGGTGCCATGGTAGTTCGGTCATTTTCTGCACCGTTTTATTGTTACAAATTGATTAAATCAGGTGCTGTACATTTGTAAACATACAATTAATGTCGGTGTATTGGATAAAGTCAGCGTCATGATTGTGAGTTTAAAAAGGGAAACCACAGTAGCAATGACTTGCCATTGGGTGCCGTCCGTTTACGAAACCGAGTAGAAACGTATGTACGCTGTGTCTGGAGCTGCCGTGAGAATGTGCGTAGTGGTACGCCAAGTTTCGTTTTTGTACATCTCGACGTGAGCGTGGAAACGGACGTACGCAACATTTTCGTGCGTAATTTGCCACATATGGGTTAAATGCAGAAGGGACACTTCATTGTCGTGTGCTGTAGCATGACAACTAATCGCATTGCACTTCAATAAATCAGGTTTTCATTACAGGTCACTCACATCCTCGAAATGGAATGAATGCCACGTGGTTTGTGAAAAAGAAGCACTGATGGCGGCAGCCATGGGCCTGTGCGTGTGAAACTATAACGGATGCCTGTCAGAAATGCAGCAACCATTAAATTCGACTTGCCAGTTAATAATGTGGTCACTTACGCCTTACACCATTTTTCTAAAGGAATTCTTGGAATGGATGTTTTTGTTTGAAACAGACTGGGCATTATGTGATGCACAAATGACAAGTCCTTAGATAGATATTAATAATAAATAGATAGATATTAAAATAATAATAATAATAATAAATATACATATATATATAATTATTATTATTATTTATTTATTTTTTATACATACACGTGCTTCACTTTACACGTGGCACGTCATAGAGCATCTGACATGGGCCAAATCATCATTCTAAAAATATCGGAAACATATTGATCTTTTCAAAATCTATATACTCTGCCAAAAGTTCACAGCTTCTGCGGTTACACTTTGAACCCAAAACATTGTGCGTGGGGATGAAGAAGTTTGGCAGGAAACCACCTCGAAGCCGATTCTGAAAGTCCTCCAGGAGTCGCAGGAAACACAAGTCCAACTGCTCCATCTTCCAGTCGCTATCATACACATGCTTCACGCAGGCGTGGAACAGCATGGTCTTAGCGTGGTAGGAGCAGAACTTGGAAAGATCCTTCGGGTACTTCTCCTTCAGCTTCTCCAACAGGTGCTTCAGAAGTTTCAGACACTCTCTTCTACAAGCAGTTCAGGAATAGCAAGCATTTCAGTAACTGAAGTTACAGAATTTGGTTTTGGCTCCAGCTCCGATTCGCACGTTCAAGGTTCATCTCATCTGGGCCTTTTAAATTTATGCTGAGCTTTACTAGGATTTAGCATTACGCTGGTGTTGCTATAACTAATAATTTTATGTATACATAAAAAGCATTAATATATTATTAAAAATATTAATCAGAAAAAATGTTTAAAAATATATTTACTATCAATACTTACATGGCCAACACTTACATCCACAGAAATATTAACCTATTTATACAACTACACATTTTAGTAGAGGAATTCAGAACATACACCCTGTGCAAAGGTATAGTCCCTTGCTGGTTTGAATAATGGCAATACATAAGTAGCCTAGCTGCGATGTCTTAATATATAAATTGATATGGAGCAGGATGGTGTAATCACTGCGCCGGTTTCACACACTGGGCGGGAGGCCGTACCTGCAGCACTTCGTACCCTCAGCTTCACAGCAGGTCTTCGCAGAGCCGTGGTACTTCAAAATGTCCTTCTCCACATGGGAAAAGGAGATTCGCCAGGCATCTGTGGAGACACCACCACAGCAGCCACTCGTCTTTGTGCTACGGATGTTTGGATCGCAGAATGGAAATAAGTGCTAAACCGCATCTGAAATCGCGAATACCGTCACTGGCAAAAATATGAATGACAGCCTTCATCTGATGCGCAGTAATGAATAAGTGCGCAAACCCCTCCTTAGGGAAAAAAAGTGTGCCAACATGAATGAAGTTTTGCAACTATGTTGACTGATCATTAAACGGGTGGCGTGGACTTAATAGCAGAGCTTTCGTTGCAATATAGAAAAAAAAGATTAGACAAAATAAACACAGTGGTGCTTGAATACAAACCCATGTCTGTCGGCAATAAATGTGGTGGGTGTTTTACACAGCCAATCCCCCTGAGTCATTAAGGCTGTGTAAATAGTGATGGATCAGGAATTTGTGTGTTTATAGTGTGATTAAAATAATATAAAAAAAATATAATACATGTAATTACAGATATAGGCGAGGTCATTAAATGCATTGTAGCCTAATAGCCTAGTTCTTTTTTCCCTCTACAAGAAGCATCATATTAGTATTATTATGACACTATCGCTATTGGCGTTTTTAATACTATTATTGCTGTCATATGACTGACAATAAATTAATGTAATATTGGCAGAACTGTTGTATTTATAAATAATGCACTTTTTTTTTGGATTATTTTAATGAAGTGTATATCACTGATTTATGTTATATTATTATTATGCTTTTCAGTAATTTTATTGAGGTTAATATATATCTATTTTACATTACAATGTTATGTTGAATGATCAGATTTAATATTAATTTATTTTATTTATAATCAGTTACAGCACTTTATTATTTCGGTTATATTTACATGTGTTACATTTAGGTTCAGTATGTTCCCTTGGTTAACCGTATTATTAGTTCCTATCTGCCCTGGTACACAGGGGGACGGGTTTAGAGAGGAACGGTGGAGAGCGACAGGGAAAAAAAGTTGGAAAGTACTGTTTTGCCGTGTTGGTGATTATTAAAGACGATCGTTGAAGAAACTGTAGCCCGTTCACTACCCACAGCCCCAGAGAGAGACTGGCACACGCTACCCACGCATCCAGAAACCAGGGTTACATGCGGATTACGGCCGCCGCACAGTGGGTGAGACGTGTCTGTCAGGGGCAGCCCCACCTTGTGCCACCGACGCCTCATCTAGGGTGTTTTTCAATACGTGTGCTTGACCGTACTTGTGTTCGTGTACCCATATATGTCATCTTCCATCCCATTCCAGACCAGTTCCGATACTAAGAACAGAAGTACAGAGGACAGTAAAAATCCCCGGATGTTGGTTTTACCTCTTGGGAGGCAAGTTAGCAAGATATGTCTTGCCAAGACCAAGTACGATCTTTGTGTTCCTGGTATTGAGAAACACTAATAGTGTCTCAGAGTGGTGCCTATTTTTCCACACGTATCTCAGCAAAGATAGACAGTTAAAAGACCTGTTGCACTGACATTACACCAGGAAAATCACATAATTGACCCTTTTCGCTATAGTTTCAATGTCTAAACTATATATCATAGACATGAAAAATATTAACTATTTTTCTAATTGTATGTTATCAAAGGAGAAAATGGAGGCTATATGTGCACTATAGTCAGAGCTGTAAACCCAGTAGCTATAATTACGCTGTCGATAAGTTACCTAATGTTCAGTTAAAGCACAGTAGTTTGCAGGTGCGCTCTCGCTCTGAAAAAGGGTTTTAAAAAAAATAAAAAGATACAGGAATTGCTGTATAGTATTTATAATAATATCTATTAGGCCTATTAGTAGTATTACTAGAATTAAGCACACGTATCTTACCCTTGTTAAATTTGTAAATTACTTATAATTTAAAGTCTAACATTACTGATGGCCATTATCAAACGTAAATTCAATGTAGTAAGACAGCATAAATGGTGTGTGAGTGTGCCCTGCGATGGGCTGGCCCCCTGTCCTGGGTTGTTCCCCGCCAGTGTTGCCAACTATTTCCAATGAAAAGTAGCTAAAGCCTGCCCGAAAAGTAGCTAAATGTGATTTGCATATCAGTGACGTCATCACGTAGTATCTGACAAGCGTAAGCCCGTCATGTCTGTACTCTCTGAGGCGCCGTGTATTATATTATATTAAAACATTACATCCAGATGCACAATAAATAGGTTCTTATTAACATATTACTTTGCGTGATGACGTCATTGCGTAATCGCAACTCAAAACTACATCTTTATGTAGTATACAAAATAATTAATGTTTTCTCAAATTGACTGGCTCAAACATACCGAATCACCACACCCAGGACTGACATCAGTCGACTCATCCAAAAGCAGACTGAACTTCTCACCCCCCACATCTGATGTTATCATTTTCAGAAAATAAGGAGCCAATACTCCCTAAATCATTTCTGTGCATTTGGTGCGATGCATGAGGGAGTTTGTTGCTGCCACAGAATCTGAAAAGGCAGCTTTGCAAGCCATACCTAAATGGTCACATGCTAGCAGTGAACAATGTTCCGCAATGGCCATTGCCATAGCAGCTTCTGCACTTTTGCAGTTATCCACTTTCCTAACTAGCTGTGGTAATGTACAGTAGACTGCTTTGCAGGGTTATATGGTTTTGATTTATTTATATGCTTTGCTTTAGCACAATGTTTTCTAATGTCATACATTTTTGCATGCATATCTGATTTGCAGTATGCACAGTATGCTCGGCAGTCATCCCCAGGTACTGGCTTCAGCCATCCTTTAAATTCAGGTACAGACTCCCACTCTTTTCTGTTTTTCTGGCTGTACAATTTTGATTGAGACATGTTCAGTTCAAAATTAATGAGCAGCTACAGTAACTAAATTTTAACTGTGGTTACTCTTAATTAATTCACTTAAAAATGTGAAATGTGTGCTACTGCTGTTGCACTCAGCCAACAAATTTTGCTGCTGCAGCTGTGCCTGGCTGTTTAGACCTTATGTAGCCCCACCCCCGCACTCTACTGAGTGAAGCCTGCAGCCACTGCTCTTTTGAGTCACTTTTTAAAAATTGCTAAAAGTAGCCAAATGAATGTTAAAAATTGCTAAATTTGTTGCTAGGTGCTTTTTGAAAAAAAAGTTGCTAGGGTAGTATGAAAAGTTGCTAAATCTAGCAACAAAATTGCTAAGTTGGCAACACTGTTCCCCGCCTTGTGTCCGTAGTTTCCGGGATAGGCTCCGGACCCCCTGCGACCCAGAAGGATAAGCGGTTTGGAAAATGGATGGATGGAAGACAGAGCAGCACCGCAGCAGCTTGGGCGGTGTGGACAAACGCACGGCTCCACGCCAACCTCGTGACGCATACGCCACGCAGCCAGTGCGTTCAGCGTTAAAAAGTGACTCAAAAGAGCAGTGGCTGCAGTGAATACAGCTGTTTTCATTTTCAAAATAAAAGCGATTCTATTTCAATTAGGTTCATAACGTAAATGAAATAGGGCATGTTCCGCGTTTTGCTTGTTGTCAAAATCACAACTTTTTACGCTCTTTTAAAAAGTTTTGGTGTGAGAATCTACCCCTAAACGATTACATAGTATTTCGTAATTTCACGTTAATGAACCGACGCGCAAAGGGTACCTTTGGCATAGATTCCATCCAGGGCATCACTCCCATTCCCTTCATATTTTGGCACCAGGTAGAAAGGTTTGAATCTGAAATCCTTCTTCACCTTGGTACCGAGCCATTTCTCGATCAGGAAGCCAGTCTTAGTGAAAGACGGCCAGGCGGAATGGACCTCCAGGCCAAGCACGACATCCAGACTGATCTGTAGACCATTCTCCTTCACCAGGAGGGTCACCGCTGGGCTTCCCTTCTTCTTTCTCTCTACTTGCACATCTTGAAAGAAAAAAGCAATACATAAGTACGCACAAGTTCAGTGAGAAAAACTTTCACAGGTTTTGTTCTGTATTTTTGTGAAATGCTAATAGAAAGTCTTCCCAAGAGAACACAGATTATAGAAAATTCAGCTCTCCATGTAAATAAGCTTAAAATATCAATTTCAACAGATCGCGCAAAAGTAAGCAGTTTGAATTATAAAGCGAAGAATTTATTAAATTGAGCACACGAATGATGGTCATTATAAAATTCATTATTTTAAATACTAAGTAAAAAATATTTTTTGCAGATGCATCCTTACTTAACGCCCGCCCTCAATACGGCATGGCGACCCACCTGTCATTGCGGTACTCTTCAGGGCATTTTTCACGTGAGCCCTGAATTTAGCCAGCATTTCACTAGCAGACACGATCCCGTCCCCCTGCAAAAAGTCAGTGAGAAGGTGCCTTCGCGTATTCTTCACCGCCACGCTGTAGAAGGCGCCATCGTCGCCGAACGGACGGAGGTCCACGCTTGGCACCCGGATGGCCAGAATCACGTCAAACTCGTCAGGCTGGCCGACCTAAGAGAAAAATTAATATGCCAACTGGATACCAAGCTCGCAACTAAATATTAAATACAAGTACAGGTTTACATTGTTATAGCTGAAAAAAAAAGAATAGACCCTGAATGCAGTTTAAATTGAATTCAAAATTTTCAATTGGCAGTAAACCGAATCAAAATGGACAAATAAACATTTCTTTATGATGTGTTTAGGCAAATTTTATTTAACATACAACTAACACACACACACGTACATGTATATATACAGCGATGGAAAAAAAGAGACCCCAACAGTGTTTTTGTTTCACTCATATCTCAATTTATGGGTGTGTGTCTGTGAATTATATTTATATATATATATATATATATATATATATATATATATATATATATATTGCGAACAGCAGCCTAGTTATTCTCGGTTTCTCATTAATGAAGGGCTTCTTCCTTGCTTTATGGGACTTCACTCCTACTTCTAGGAGCCTGATATGAACTGTCCTCACAGTGCACCTCACACCTGCACTTAACGTTTCCCATTCCTTTAGAAGGTCACTTGATGTCACCCTCAGATTCATGAGAAACTGCCAGATAAGTCAACTATCATCTCTGGCATTAGAATGTCACCTTTTACCCGGCTGGTTTCTGGTCGCTCCCAATGTCTCCTGCTTCAGTTCATTCTTGTATACTGTCGTCTTAGAAATTTTGAACTGGGAAGCAACCTGCTGCTCAGTGTAGCCTTCAGCACGCAGAATCGCGTCTGTGTTGTATGCGGACTTCCAATAAAACCGCGTTGAAGCAGAGTGTGGTCTCTTTCTTTAACGGCTTGTATTGTATTAATATCTTTACCATTTTTGTTACGAAAAAATAAATTGAGTTAAATGATACCTTTTTCTTGAGGTAAAATTATCTATCCTTTTCCATACAGTAAAATATATTGCAAATTGATTGCGTTCATGGCAGCTAAAAAGTACGGGGAAATGTTAAATATTTACTATTCTTTGCAAACGTTTACATTTAAATGATTTTAATATATGGGTTTTCAAATTGTTTCTGCAGTAGGCATATACAGTACAGGTATAAATACCTACAAATCCAAGTCAGAGTAGCAAAGTTCACATTAATTACAATTTATGGAGCCTTCGGATATTAAGATCATATACACACGGAAAATTACATAATAATATTTATTATTACCTATAGCTGTATCGTTCACGCAGCATATCATACAAGTTTGCCATTGGAAGAGTAGAGTTCAGTCCGCTGTTTCCAGTTGCAATTATAACTGCATGGTCTATTTTTCGTTACAGCTACATTTTACTTACTTTCACATTCTCGTAGTAGCTTCCAGTGCGCAAACTTGTAACTTGGTTGAAGCAATCGGTTCGATTTTTAAAGTATTTGATTATGTTTTCCACGATGGTGTTAATAACGGCGGTAGATTCCGATCGGGTAGTTTTGCGAATCCTCAGCTTGCCCAGTGTCGTTGAAAGCACCTGGTGTACATCAGTCTCGGCAGCACGGCTCTTCGATGCGCAACCCGTTGTCTTCGAAAGTGGAGAAGGAGATTTTTCCAAGCAATTCTTCTCACAGGGATCTCGGACACTGTTCGATTGTTTGTGGCGACCACGAGGCGAGCGAGGTGGAGCGGAACTCGCTCCTTCGTCCTCGATCGGACTGTTTGTACCGTTTCCCTTTGAAACCCCGCTGTCTTCACCTGCCCGGGCTGGAGTGCGTCCACGATTTTTACGCACAAATCCTTTGGTTGGCATTTCGGTGCGTAAAAGGATGATCCTTTGACACAAAAGGCGCAAGGGTTAGTGAGACCATTCGGCAGGTCATAACATCCCTATATAGTATATTCATGCAGAGAGCAAAAATGTAATCGGGGGCGGTCCATGTATGTAGGGACTACTGATGTCGTCTGTAACATAATGAAACTGATGTTCCTGCACTAGCCTATTTAAACCAACTAACTGAATAAAATAGAACCTGCACGAAATTCAGCGTAACCAAAATCTCATTAAAGGCAGGCTGCAAGTAGAGACCTGCACTCCCGCGGGAGTACCGCACCCGCGAGACCCAATTGCTCACCAAGTGCGGCCCGGGAAAAGATTTGATAGGCGGGTGCGGGCGGTGAGGTCGTCATGTACGTGCGGGTTGCGGGAGAATAGAATTAATCGCGGGACTCCCGCAAAATGAAATTCTTAAAATTAATTAATTAAAAACAAATACTCATTTATCTACTGCACAAAAGCAACAAGAACGACTAAATTAAAATAATTTACAGGCGAATCGTCTACAGAAACTACAATTGCCGCGCTCTGAGTGCCGGGGAACTAACCGGACACCCCAAGAAGGGATCAGCCTGGTGCTTGGACGGGATGGCATGTTCTGAAAAGTTCCTTGTTCGTGTCCATGTTCATCATTCCATTTAATTAAACTCAAATAAAACTAAACATTTTTTCTTTTTTATATATATTTGAAAGGGAAGCAAGTGAAACAAATAGTAGCGGGAAGAAGCGGTAAAAATAAAGCTACTTATATGTTTACCTGCGGGATAAAACTTGAATACTGCGGGCGGGAGCGGGAGAAAATAATATATATTTTTTGCGGGAGCGGGACAGCATCTTGCGGGACAGCATCTTGCGGGAGCGGGCAGGAGCGGGACTGAAAAATCCGTCCCGCGCAGGTCTCTAGCTGCAAGCTATAGTATTTTTTCTAATCTGATTTGACATTTAGAAACGCAGTTTATGTCACGTTTTACGCACGTTGGCAAAGTTACAAAATCTGAAGCTTTGTACTTATGCGCATTGTATACATTTCGTTGTTCAGTTGATGCATTAGTGCCCAACAAATACGAATGAATTATTTATTGAAGCAGTTTGGTAAAAAAAAAAATAGGTGACCATAAATTGCATTTCAGGAGGGCGCTTTAAGCTATGACTGGGTTTGTAAACTATCATTTCAAATAAAAGGACCTGGCTTTCACTTTAGCGCCGAGATCTTGCTGCATATTGATTAGTCAGTCTCCTATAATCCATCATGTGTCACTAATGTTAATGTGAAACAGCTGGATGTGTCTTTCAATCAAGGAAACAAACCAGTCAAAGCACAAGAGGAACTGAATTATTTAGCCAAACACAGGAGCCTTTCGGTTTTAAAGTAGTTTGGAAAACCTGAAGTAACTCCAAGTGTCCCCCATGACATGCATTTTCTGGTCTCTTTAGTCAAAAGTCAATTTATTTGTATAAGTCACTACGTATAGCACATTTTAAAACAACAGGAGTTGACCCAAGGGCTTTCTAATGGAGCAGGATTGTCAAACTCCAGTCCTGGAGGCCGGAGCCTTACACATGTTTGGGTTTCCCCTCATTTAACACACCTGATTCACCTGCCTGTGCTGATTACCACACAGCTCTTGAGCTGAATCATTTGTGGTAGAACAGGAAAAACGACACAGGGCTCCAGCCCTCCAGGACTGGAATATGACGCCCCTGTAATAGAGGAAATAAAGGATTAATATGCACTACACATGTAATAAAAAATATAAATAAAGATAACATGAAAACTTGCATACAAGAAATGAGAATTAGGTAGTAAAAATAATCCATCAATTTTCTGAAATCACTTAATCCCAACTGGGGTTGCAAGGGGGACTAGAGCCTATCCTGGGAACAATGGGTGCTGGCAGGAACCAACCCTGGGCAGTCGCCAACACACCCACACTTCAGACTCACCACTCAACCTATCCTGCACGCTTTCAGACTGTGGGAGGAAACCGGAGCCCCCGGCCAAAACAGGGAGAGAGTGCAAACTCCACACAGAAAGGACCCGGGACCGAACCCAGAATCTTATTGCTGTGAGCCAGCAGTGCTAAAGCACTGCGCCACCACACTGCCCATAAAAATGATAATTAAAATACAATTAACAGATTAAAAATCAGTAAAGGACAATTACAAATAAAATGTGTTATTAACTGTAAACTTGGGACAGAATTTTTTTTTAGTTTTTTATTATTTTTTTTTATATATATTAAATCTATGTTCATTCTTTTTTTTTAAACTTTACCTAGATAAGCCTACTCTGCCTTGCGGTAACCCGTCTGCTGCTGGCGAGCCCCCTGGCGGTAATGCGGCGAGCACAGAGAACATGGCGGGAAAGGAAGCCAAAAGGAACTGACAAAGATTGACTCATGTACAGCACTGTACTGTATTATTGTGTTTGAATTATACATTTCAGTGATTTAATTTGTTCAGTACTAATGTTCAGTTAGAGCACAGTAGTTTTCCGGTGCGCTCTCGCTCTGAATTTGTATTCTGAAAGTCAATAAAATTCAGTAGTGATGCTATCCATTTTATTACCTTATACATTATTATGTTATAAGGTTATAAATATACAAATGTCATCAGATAGTAATCTGCCTGAGACATAAAAAAAAGGAAAAAAATTGCTATAATGATCATCTTAAATCGTTTGAAGTCGATTGGTTTGAATGTAACATGCATGGTTGGGTCCAGGGCTGGACTGGGATTAAAATTTGGCTCTGGAATTTTGCCCATACAGACCAACCCCACATACATTCATTTTTCATACCTACTTGTCCTATGCAAGGTCATGGGATTCCAAAAATATACTTTGCATCACAGATGTGAACCATTTATACACCTTTATTGTTTTAAATGTGTAGGTGTCACATTGGATGAATGCAGGTGTTTAGAAGAAAGTAAAGAGGCAAAATAGAAAATGACAACTGCAGAACGTGGGAGTAAAACTGTGTTTACCTGATACCCCTTCATTTTGAAAAGTTTAGGAATGAATTTGCAGGACAGGAATACTGCAGACTGCATATATGCAACAGTGCCACTATTTCCTTCTGGTACTTTTGCGATGCATGGTGGTAAGCGTCTAAGAGAGCGACTCCAGTGGCCAATCAGAGCAGAGCGCCGGTACACCCTGCCGTCTCCTGTGACACTGAGCTTGGCTGCCCTGCACCATGTCCACTTGGCCTTCTGAGGTATTTGAGCTGACTTGGTGACCTTGCCACCGGTGGGCATTTTCTTCTCCACTGTCTTTACCACGCCCACTGCCACAGTTTTACTGCATGTCCGGAACTGCTAACTGCTAATCCGTAACACTACAGGGAAAGTGTGGTGGATTTCCATATAACTGCCCCTCACCCACCTGTGTCTCAAAATGGCTGTGCTTTGATACATAGTCATGTTTTACATTGCCGCTCATTTTAATTACCAAGACCTCTGAGCAGATCAAACACATTGGCTTTGTGCTGGATCAAGGCGACATAAATGCATTGTCCTTCCTCCTCTTTAATTGCACTTTTGTTCACAAGTTTAGAAAAGGACACCTTCACCATTAGCTTGTAATCAAATTAGAAATAACCGATTAAATGATATTACAATGAGTTTACAGCACACCTGTAATGAAATGAAGCAACCAGGACACTGACTTGGTATTACTGGCTGCCTCAGGCAGTATGTGTTGTAAGGTTACTTACTGCCACCTTGTGGACATTGTGTTTATGGATGGGAAGTAGTTCTTTCGCTGTTCTCAGACTAGGAAGCTCTGTGTCTACTGCTGGTCATGTTTTCTAAGCGTTTGGGAAGTTTGGGAAACCATATGTCTGTAAGTTCTAACTTAACTAACAAACTCTGAAACAGTTCATTTATGGTACAAACGTGATCCGACCTTAATGCGATTATCTTCAAGGTTTACTCTGTGAGTGAACCGAGGTCTTACTTGGTCTAGCAGTGAGGCACATTGCCTTCTTGAAATCTGGGCAGATGACTACATCTGTCAGCTCCTAAAAACAACTAAAAAAAAGTTTTCAAAATGTTCAGTCAAAGGAGAGAGGATTTGACCAGTCGACTGAACAGTGTCAAGTCAAGTCAAGTCAAGTAGGCTTTATTGTCACTTCAACCATATAC